TATCTCTTGTTCTCAAAACCCTAAACCCAAACCATCCCAAACCCTGAAGCGTAGACCCTAATCCCTAAGCCCTAAGTAGTCCCAAATCCTCAAACCTTTACCCCCTAAACCTTTAAATCCCTTCCGGGGATTCTTATAAAGTACATCCTCCCTTCAGGGGGGCTTGAGGTCGCAGAACCCTAAACCCCAAACTCTTTTCCCCTTTACCCTCTATTGAATATCGCAGGAGACCTTGAGGGAGGCCAGCCTAATCTTCGGCCACGACCGATCGGATCTGTCCTGGTCTCGGCGGTCGCAGGATCTTGAACTAGGGCCTAGAGGTTTAGTTTAGGACATTGGGTTTAGGGTTTAGGGTTCATGGGGGTTTATATTGGCAGGTTTACGTGGTTCCTGATGAGTTTTGCAGCATTTTGGGCTTTAGGCTTTACGGAAGTAGAGGTGTAGGGTTTAGGGGGTGTAGAGCAGTTGACGCAGGCCAAGCCTTGCAACCCTTCAACACCTTGGGTATTCTCTCAGCCCTCGACTGTGAAAACAGTGCTGGCAAAAAGCAGCTAAATCGCAGAATGCAGAAGACTGCATGCCCGTTTGGAAGGGTTTGGGGTTCAGGGGTGTGCAGTTTAGTACAGGGCTTTGCAGCTTGGCGTTTGGGGTTAGGGTTCGGATGTCGGTTATCAAAGAGCCACGACTTTTCTCCGATCAAACTCCCAACCTAAGCCCTGACCAGTAAAACCTTGCATTTTCGGTTCGGCTGAAATCTTGAATTCACAGCATCCACTTGGGGGTACCATGTAGACTCCCCCATGATTAGACACCATAAAGGATCCGAAGAAAATCACGGACCTGCACTACCCAAAGCCCTAAACCCTAAACCGTAAGCTCTAAACCCAAAGCCCTAAGCTGCAAACATGAATTTCCGTGGTCAGGGTAAGCACGCCATGCCCAGGTTTCGCGACTTCGAGACTTTACTCAGTCGTCATGGAATGTGAAGGCCTCAGTGTAGCGGTGTTCCCCATCCCTGCATCCTACAGCCGAGCCCTGAATCCCAAACCCCACTCCCTACATCCTAACCACAACCCAAAACCTTCAACCCCAAAGCCTAAAAGCTTTTCTAAACCCTACACCCTATCCCCTAAACCCTAAACGGCCCTAAACCCGCAACAGCACTAATCTGCGATTCCTGGGATGCAGGACAGAGGTTTCACGGTGCAGGGTTTAGGGGGTTCCTTTAGCGGAACCGTAAGGGTTCCGATAAGGGATCTATAAGGGCATTGTAGGGTATAGGATTTAGGGGTTTAGGGGTTACGGTTTAGGGTTTAGGGTTTGGGTTTGGGGTTTGGGATCTGGGATTAAGGGCTTGGGGTTTAGGATGACAGTGTACAAATCATAGAGCATCCTGACCAGATCCCGAAACGCCAGATGCCCTCAGCCTTTAACCCTGACTTGTCTAGAAAGCCAGTTGTCCATGTCCTCAGGCTTTTCCTTAAACCCTTGACCCTGAAAGCCCTAAGCCCTAAACCTAAAGTACCTAAACCCTAAACCCTAAACCCCAAACCCTAAACTCTAAACCCTAAACCCTAAACCCCAAACCCTAAACTCTAAACCCTAAGCCCTAAACCCTAAGACCCTGAAGCCCCTAAACCCCTCGCACTGAGCTCCAAGCCCTTTACCGGAATAAACCCCAAAACCCTCAACCTAAACCCTAAACCTTTGACCCTCAACCCTAAACCCCAAGGCCCTCAGGTCCTGAGCATAAAGTTAAGAGCTGTAGGGTCTAAGGTTCAGGGTCTTAGGTTGAAGGGATTAGGGATTTTAGGGGTTAGGGTTTAGAGTTTAGGGGTCTCAGGGTTTAAGGCTTAGGGTTTCGGGATCCAACTCTTCAGGAGCTTTGGGTTGAAGCTTTAGCATTCAGGACTCAAGGGGTGTAATTAATGTAGGGGCCTGAAAAATTACCAATACTATTTTGGGGGCTCCTTGTTACAATTATAGTTTAATATCCTTCAGACCCCTATTCTAACCTTAAACCCTAAACCCTAAACCCTAAACCCTAAATCTATTAAGGCCCCTACATTAGGGTTTCGGGATCAGGGGCTTCGGGGGAATGCGGGTTCAAGCTTGAGGGCCTTCGGGTTTAGGGTTTGGGGGTTGGGGCTTAGGGTTTAGGGTTTGGGGCTTAGGGTTTAGGGTTTAGGGCTTCACGGCCTTTGGGTTTAGGGTTTGGGGTGCAGGGCTTGGGGTGTGGGGTTTTGGGTTTAGTCTAAGGACTTTAGGAGG